TATATATATATATATATATATATATATATATATATATATATATATATATATATATATATATATATCTAAAACAAACTCTATTAGTTATCATAAAAGATAAGTAAACTGACAATTGAATAATTTATTACTTGTTTTAAAGGTAAGATAATAGCATCAAGGAAACAAGAAAGTTCAAAATTCGATAGTTAATTGGACGATACCATTGATAGCTATGCTCCATGGAATTATGGTAACTAGGGTTGAGCATGGGTCGGATCGAACCATAAACCGACAAAACCGATCGGGTATTGGATTATAATATCATGCCCCATAATATGAAGTTCGGGTTTTTCGGATAATTCGGGTTGGGTCGGGTTTTGCACAGGCCTAATGGTAACTGTTTGATGTTACAAAATTCAATACTTTGTTATAAAATATAAATAATATTGTTTGATAGAATAAAACATCCATCAAGGTTAGAATCAGAATCTATTTTGTAAGGCTTTTCAATGTCGGTTCATGATTTATTGCATCTCAAGATGGTCCTTATATTCAGTGTTTGTACACGCCTTTGTTATTTTAACATGTCATGTATTTTGATTTGATGCCGATTGGTAATTTAAATTGAATATTATCTGTTGTTACTTTGTGTACTTAGAGACCATTAGTCCAAGAAGAATTGTCTCCAAAGTTAATACCGTTGGAAATAACAAAGGTGTTGTTGACTCAAACAGCATTTCAAAACTAAAAACATATAGAAGTCTGATTAATATAAAGCATAAAACATTTTCAAACCATACCAGTTTTACAACTAATTTTGTTGCTAAGACTTAATAGGGTTTTTTTTGTTTTCTTAAAGACACCAACAGATATATTGATAATAGCAAATTAACAATGACATAACTTTATAATAATACTGTTAGATCCCATAGTGCAAAATGTAAAAAGTAATAAAAAACAATAAGTGATGAAGAACCAGAAGATCGATGAATATAATTTAGTTATTCATAACTAGATTATAAGTGTTATTGAGATATCTGTGATCAACAAATACATATTCACATCAAGTAAAGATAAAATAAAATATGAGATGATATTGCATGCACATATTTGAAATGCTAATAGTTCCTTTCTTTTAAGTTTTGTTAATCCAACTAGACTAAATATGTCGCACCATATTTTTTCCTACCACGGTGACTGCATACTATTAATTAAATATTGAATAGACGATCATAAACATACATTTTGTAGGGGAAGATTTTCAGCATACTTATATAACATGAACAGCTAAAATTGAAATTCATGTGACACGGTAGGAAACACATAGGGTTAACAAATGTTGAAACCTTACGAAAAAACAAAGGAGTAAGCATCAAACTATCGGCTTTGGTTCAGTGAACCATGTGAACCAAACTTTCACCTTCGATCGTTTTCAACTGACCTTCACTGACTATTTCTATTCATTATGACTGAAAACTTAATACATTCATGCATATGAAAGTGATTGAAGGTATAAAGGGTTCCTGAAAGTGAAAATAAAAGTAAGGATTAAGGTTGATGAATGTAGTTAAAAGTTTGTGTTTTTAGTCAACAATATATTGAAGGTAATTGAAGGTCCACAATCTTTTTAGCCGTACTCAACTCAACCCATAATTCAAAAATATTCTCACCATAACTTTTAACCGTTAAATTGTGTTCGACTTATCAGCTAAGTAATCATGTTTTACAATAAGCTTTTGGTTATCAGAAGTAACGATAGAAAAACAAAATTGATGTTGGTTTAATCCAAGCGATGTTGCGGATCGGGTTGATGAGTTTCAAGATGTACATCTTTCTTTCATGAACTTGCACAAGCATTGTTGCTTAGGATCTTCCCGAGAGAGGAATGTTACATTTTTTTAATTTTGTTTTTATAAAACAAAAAGAAAATAATAAAACAAAGGTCATTGCAAGTTAAAAAGGCAATGAAAATGCGACTTTTATGGTTTAATGTGTATTATTATAATTTCCACTTTAGGAACAGTAAATCCAAGACTCTTATCCCAAGTCCCCACGTGTCAGCCAACCATATGATGATATTAGGTTTCACAAGGTAACTAACAATTCTTTATCGAAATTTTATGTGAAATTTTGTATATTGATTTACTTTTTTGTATTTATTTGTTTTTAATAACCATAAGTATTCAGGTAATTTTACGTGTATCGACTAATCTCTTGGACGATCATAAATTATTTGGAGTAATCGTTTGTGAATTTCCATAGCCACAATGACTAGGTAATACATGTAGGAATTCAAACCCAAGAAAGATGAGATCAACGACCCAAGTGATTAGGTATTTCATTTAATAACATTTAGAATATATTTATAATTCAAAAATCTGAAACATCTCAAAATAATATAGAAATAGAAAATTAAAGTATGTATGATTGAAAAATACACGATTTTAAACATGAATAAGGAGTTGTTATTTACACCCTCCTACGAATGAAGATTCACTTAGAAAGTCAAAAAGTTACGAAAAGCAACATCAAATCACATAGAAATTGGAAAAGACATCATTTCATACATACTCTCTCTTTCTTCATATTAATATCCTCTTCAAATGCTTACTCGGGTAAACGCTTACCAAGTTATATTATATTACCTGATGAATATGGCAATGATCAAGAATCTTACCCGGTAAGAGTAAGGCAAAAACCGAGAGTCTTACCCAGTAAGTGAGGACAATAACTCTTACCACGGTCAACTTTTTCCGGCTAGATTGTTGCATAGAATACCGTTTTTGTTGCCTAAAATCTTACCTAGTAAGTAAATGATAGTATTGAATTTTTTCGTTAAGTACTTACCAGATAAATGTTTAGTAAACGGCCCCTTACTCTCTATTAATTTATCTATCTTATTAACTTTTAAATATTTATGCATTACTTTAAGGGTAAGCATGAACTAAACGTATATTTTAAGACAAAAATAAATATAGATATTTATCTCGAAACGAGTCGGACAATAATTGATAGTAATTTAATTTAAACTATTGCTCATAGCTATCTTATATATAATACAATAGAAAAAGTTGCTAAATACATTCGTGAAGAATGGAATATTAGTAAATGAATATACATACTTTAAGCATATATTTGTGGCATTTTTAAGGTTGTGTCACACACTGAGTTGATAATAACCGAATTTATAAATAAAAAATTAAATTTAAAAACAAGAAAAAAAGAATCTTTATCAATTTTTTTAAATGAATAAATTGATCTCATGAATAAATTCCAGCAAATGATCTTCTTTCCCACTTCATTACAGTTTTTTTGTGTTTTTGCCTTTAAGTAGCTTTTAGACCTTTGCTTAACCAGTCATTAAGATCTAAACCCCATCTCTCTCTCTCTCTCTCTCTTAAACATCAAGAAACCTAAGCCAAAAAAGCAAGAAATTGGGAGATGGGAAGAGGGAAGATCGCAATCAGGAGGATTGACAACTCAACCAGTAGGCAAGTGACCTTCTCCAAGAGAAGAAATGGCTTATTGAAGAAAGCCAAAGAGTTAGCCATCTTATGTGATGCTGATGTTGGAGTCATCATCTTCTCCAGCACCAATAAGCTCTATGAATTCTCAAGCACCAGGTTTTAGTTTCTTTAATTAACATCAGATTAAGCATTTTACTCTTTGTTTTTTCTTTGTAAAACATTACTCTGTGTAATTCACGTGCACATACATACATACATACATATGTATGTGTGTGTGTGTGTGTGTATATGTATAATTGATGTTGTTATCGATGGTTAAATTTGCATATATGATCATGTAAAAGGACTGTCTTTTGCTAATTAATTAAGAAGGTGTTTCACTTTTTCTAATAATTCAGCATGAAATCAGTGGTTCAACGCTACAATAGATCAAAAGAAGAAATCAATCAACTGGTGAATCCGATGTCAGATGTCAAGGTATGTACAATGCCTCTCTTGCTACTTCGATCGATCTGTAAACGAGTGAGAAAAGGGTGAATGTTTAATTGAATCAGCAACGGAGAAAAGGGGTTTATGTATCTGCTAATTACTTGTTGAAGATGAATGAAGAGAAAACCCTAATCTTGGATAACTGAAAAAAAGGATATATATATACCACCCTTCGGAGCCCCCATCGCACCAAATCTCCGTATACAATAATAGCTAAAAGCAATTAAAGCGCGCTTAATAAACACCACATGATATATACATATATATATATACACACACACGCACACGCACACACACACATACATCCATGAAATCCATCCGGGACAAGAAAAACGAACTATTTTTCAATGGAATTATATGATCTTAAGGTCTTGTGTATATTTGGTCTCTGATCTTTGCAGCACCATGTGCCTTCTACAGAAAAGTTCTTGGCTTTCTTGAACTAATTAACCCCAATATATTCATTATATATAGAATATTAAAAATATCTAAACCAAGATGCAAGTGAATGATCCACGGTATACAAGCATTTAATAGTTTCCTTGGCTATGACTACGAGATTAAAATGACATACAAATTTGATGGTGGTTTTTGATTCCTAATTGCCTTTTACTTGTATGAAGTTCTCTGATTTTATCGGTGCTTTGCATTGCTGATCTTTTAAAAATGTACTACATATATACCTATAAAAGTGTCTCATGCATAGTTAAATACTGCTGAGTATGGTACGATCTTAGCACTCGTATGACTACATTTGACACAATAAACCAAACCAATGCAATATGTAAGTCCCACCGCCCAGAGTTGGGGTCTGTGGGTGGGATGTACATAGACCTGAGATCAAATTTAGAGGTTAAAACAACTATTTCCGCAAAGACCCCAACATGTGCAAAATGTGCAAAAGAAAGGCTAAAAATGTCGCGGAGAAGGAAAAGAAATTAAAAAGAACGTGAAAATATGAAAGGTGGTGCTAAAAGTCGGAAACGAGTTAGTAAGCAACAACAATCAAACAACAAACAAAACATTCTAACACATTTAGAACAGGTATACTAATACATAATCTAACCTAGGACCAAGAAGATCTAACTACGTTTTACACGATGACGTTAATTTATAAACATGAATTGCATACTTATCCTACACGATATGCATATATACCGTGTCAGCCAAGGAAACAAGCTTCAATCCGTCGATTATTGACACTTTGCGAAGAATGTTCATAGGATTGTAAAAGGTACAGGTGAAAATGCAGAGAATCTTGTGACTGGGAAGTTCTCATTATCTAGACATATAGTTCCATTGAATGGTAGTTTGTTTGTCTTGCTTCTGAAGCATTTTCATGGAGAATTAGGAATCACAAATATTATAAGAACAAATATATTCAATAAATATATATATATATATATATATAGAGAGAGAGAGAGAGAGAGAGAGATCTTGAAAACTTAATATCCTCATTATGCACTTGATGGTAACTGAAATCCAAGGGCAAAGGGGACGATGTGAAATGGGAAACTAAATAATATATGACCACAAAATATATATGTACATTAACTTCAAAAAGAGTTATTTCTATCCAGAGAAGAAGGGTTTAAACAAGAACAATAACCAAAGAACATGAAAACGGTCAAATCACGTGCAAAATCACATGTACGGGCGATGTGCCCGTGAATTACATGTGATTTTAATGATTTTAGTATAAAATCACATGTGATTCTAATGTAAAATCACATGTGATTAGACGAGTTCTCTTATTTTCTTATTTGGTTATTGTTCTTATATGAATCTGCATTTATTTATATATATATATATATATATATATATGTATGTATGTATGTATGTATGTATGTATGTATGTATGTATGTATGTATATATGTATGTATGTTGAACGTAGCATTTGTTGTTAAGTATGCTCATCATTTTTTTGTTTTACCCATACAATTGATCAACCTATGATTCAATGGCGCGATTGCTAGCTTTGGCAAATGGAGGCAGGATTATTGAAGCAACAGTTGCAGAACCTGCATGAAACTCATCGGTAAGTCTTACTAAGTTGATTAATTACTTCCTAAATACAAGTTCCTTTCTTTTGACAAACCCAATAACTCGTACAAACTTACAATCAGTTTTCACGACACATGTGAAAATACAGTGTTGCTTCATATATGAGACTGTTAAATTTTGTTTTTCTCCGCACACAAAGCAGTCAGGAACGTTTGAGATATGAAACAACAATGTATAACATACACATTATTTAAAACATGTGAAACAACACATAAAAACTATTTTTTAAGTTTGTATCGGGTCCGTAAATGATTATGCGCCTATGTACATAATCAATAGCCGATTAAACTGGACTAAAAGAACGAAAATCCTCTACGTACATTAAAACAAGGAAACCAATCTTGCACGCGGGGATACTGTGTACAATTCGTGATGCTTAACTAACTGCACGCGTGCTTGCGTTAAGATTAGGCAACTGATGGGAGAAGAACTCTGTGGTTTGGGACTTGAAGACCTGCAAAAACTGGAAAACCAGTTGTCATTAAGCCTACAAGTTATTCGCATGAAGAAGGTAATTAGTTTCAAAATACGCTTTACATATTTACGCCTTTACATAAACTCGGGCTAAAATGGGAATGTGGTTGTTCAATATCCCTAAAATAATGGGCAAGAATTACATTTCTCGACAAATTTTGGAAATTGAAACCCGTTTTCATTTCCATTCTTCAACATTTCCATCCACATTCTCGTTCTTATTTTCATTTCTGAAACGAATCAAACGAACCTTTAAAAAAATCTTAAACAACACATCGAGCAATTCGATTTGCTTTTCTATAACACTTGTGTTACCTAAACCTGAACATGTATTATATATATTTCTAATGGTTTTGCATGCAGGAAGAGAGTCTAACAAATGAGATACAAGAACTCACCAGAAAGGTCTTTGTTCTTACCCTCTTTTCCCCTCAAATGTCATCTAACCCTACAATAAAATGGGCTTTTTTAGGATGTTCAAACAGTTTTTGGTCGTCTTAATGGAGTACTCGATATAACTTTTAGTACCAACAATTGATCGTCTTATAAAATGTGTTAAAATGAGTTGTTACTACTAAGTTAGACGACCTGAAAAGCTCTATCAATGGAGTCGGACGATCTAATCAAACATAATAAGTAAATCGTCCAATTACTTTATGTATAAAACAATTCTGAAAAATGTCTTAACAAGATCTATAGAAAGAATAGGAGGAATTTTAAAAAATATGTGGCCTATAAAAAAATGGACAATTTTTTTTCCAACTTTGTCGATAGAGCTTGTTAGGTCATCTAACTTCATTCTAACAACTTATTATAACATCATTATATAAGATGCACAGTTTTTAACCTTATAAACTTAGGGGTTGTTTGTTTACCTCTTAATAATTTCATTAAGAGACAACCTCTGAATCGCGTTAAGAGGTGAATCTTGTTTGGCAAGAAAAAAGTCTCTCTCTTAATGGTTCCAAAAGCCTCTGAATGATTTTGTATCATGAATCTCTCTTAACTATTAAGAACCCTAATTTTATTGTATACAATTGCCAAACAATTATATTTCATTTTGCATTATATCATGAGAACATCTTAATCATTTTAATCACTTAATCCTTCTGTACCAAACCATTCAGCAATTGTCAAACAGCCTCTTAAATTCCCTTTAATTCCTTCGTTAGGATGTCGAAGTACGGTGAGCATCCTAAAAGCCCATATAAAAATTCTATGCTTGACTTTGACACGTAAATAAATACGTCTTTTAATTAGTAATCAAATACCTAAACCGCCCTTTTACAAACAAAATTTATAAAACCTATAATATCTTGAAATGATTACCAAAATTGGATCATTAATTGTATCTTTTTTTTTCTAGGATTTAATTTATTAGAAACTAAAAAGAATGGGGGTTTTCCCTTTGTATAGGGGAATTTGATACATCAAGAAAACATCGAACTCTACAAGAAGGTAATCAACATTTATGAATGCCTTTAAGTGGACACAAATCTTGATTTCTTTCCTTATGAATCTAGAATTTTAATCAATACAGTTATGCAAGAAAAATAATATTTATGTCTAATAGATTTATGAGGCAAGAACATATGCAACTAACTTTGATGAGAATAACGGGTTCGAAGCGTGTAACTCTGGTGTCATCCAAGCTCATAGCCCTACCAATCTGCATCTATGTCAACCTGAGGATCAGAGTATGCTTGACATACCGTTGCGTGAAACAATTTCCAGGCAAGTACTTCTTATGAATTCAACGTTACCATTATGGCAAACATTTTAATCATCAAATGTGATTTCTCGTGTCCTAAAAGCAAGTTTTGAAGTATGTAATATTTATATGCAACAGAACGTACACATGCTGTCAAATTATAGAATCCCATTAGATTATGTACTATTTAAAATAGTCCTTTAAAAGAAAAAGGAATGCTCCAACATATATGGAAGAGACATGGTCCAAATCTAGCCCTCATGAGGAGATATTCAGGCATATAACCTTAAATGATAACTTAAGGTCATGAATTTAATTAAAAACTCATTTAAGGTTATATACCTAAACGACTTTGTGTGACTCTAAGGTAGCGTTTATTTTTTAAAAGGTGATGAAGTCCGATTTCACTTTTGATTTATAAGAAGTGATCCTGGATTCTGAAATCTTGATCATGAAGATTGTTTGTTTCTACGTCCGAAATCTGAAATCTAAATCGATCAAACTATTGAAAAAAAGATAAATAATTTTTGCTAACAAATCTCTTCCATCCCTCAAAATATGAACCATTTGATAGATGACGGATTAAGATTAAGAGATACGTTTACCACTTAAAATTTCAGAGGACATTTAGAACTTTTAAGCTCTTATTTTAGAAATAAAACAAACGTTCTTAATATTCAAACGTTTGAACGAATCAAACTTGAGGGGTATTAAGAGGTAATTTGAAAGAAAAAAAAAAAAAAAACAGGCCCTAACATATGCCCCTTCCAACGGAGATTGGATTGACACATATTGTCTGAGAGTGTCAACTCCCTAAAGTGGTAGACCTTGACTCTGCTACCATGTGAAATTATGTAAAACACTATTAAATTACTTTCCAAATAAGCATGTGAGTCAATCTAGGACCTCTTACACACATTGCTCATCCTAGGTGACTTTTGAACTCTAAACCTTCATGAAGGTTGGGATCTACGGGTAACCTAAGTATACCAATGGGTCAATCCTTCGGTTTTCTGAAATGAGTTTAATGAACCTTTTAGATGATAAATTTGGTTACGGGTTTATAATAATTGTTGTTAGGTTGTTATATACGTCGCAGGTGGAATGATTGCATGATCGATGCAGGCAAATAAACATGTATTCATGTTCAAACGTCGTCTTTTGAAAGGTGCTCCCAAATTTCTGACTTTTGATTTGTATATTTGGGCCATTATTACTTAAAAGACATGATATTAGTTGATAAGGGTACATATGCTACTCGTAGTATACCACTTCCCATGTAATTATAATTGCTTATCCTTTTGTCCCTTTTAACTTTCTGATGGTACATTTTTCGTTGTACCATGATGATTCCTTTTAATTTGTCGACAAATGTTTCATTATAACATGTATGATGTATCTTATATATTATGGCCAATTTTGTTGCATTAAATCATACATCATTGATCATTTTCATTTCTCACCCAATCATTCCTTTAATTAGGGTTGTAACCAAACCGAATGTTCAAGACATCGTTCACTAGGGAATTCGTTTACTTAATAAATGAGCGAACATGAACATGATTTTACATCGTTTAACACAAACAACAGTGTCGTTCATTCAATTATATTTGTAAATGCTCGTTTATGTTCGCTTATTTTTGTTTACGTGTGTTTACATTCATTTGTGAATGATAAAGATTTTCTTACATTTTTCATGAAAAATGGTTATGGTATTTTTTTTTTCCTTCATTTACTAAGGAATAGTTGGTGATTATGTGTAATAGTTTATAATGAAATATGGTGAACTTTTTTATGTTTTTCCTAGAGAACATCATTTTACTATAATCAACCACATATGAGTAAGTAGTTATTTTTTTATTCATTTACTATAGAACAGTTTTTAATGTAGTCAATTACATGTGATTAATGAGTATATATTTTTTTAAATTAAAGCTAGAGATATGCAGACGACTTGGTTGCGACCTAGGTTGTGACAAAAGTCGTCCACCTCTCTAATATAGTATCACATGTGATTAACAAAATGTATACTATCTCATATGATACGGGCATTCTCATGTTTTCGTGAAATGGTGATATTCTCGTTCGTATCCATCACTATAATTTAAAAAAATGTGATATATATATATATATATATATATATATATGGGGTCAGATTAGGGGCAAGAACTACCATCCGCCCCACTCCAAATCCACATTTGGTATAGTCGTATAGAAATCAACCCCCGTTACCAAGCCAGGAACCCCACGCATTAAGGCAGGTACCCACAGGTTAATTTCAATCTCGAATACACCCCCGAGGGCACTCTTGACGACGTTTAAGAGTATCTAAAATAGAGATTTTTTGAATATTTATGAATTCTTTTTCATTTAATAGTTATTTCTGAATTCTTTTTCATTTAATAGTTATGTTAAAATAGAAAGAAAAATAAAGAGATACAAGTTTAAAAATCTCCAAAATTTTGAAAATGTCTAAAACTCTATATAAGTA